AACATTCAATTCACGGGCAACAGCTCTGGTGGACATTCCTGCAGTCAGCATGCCAATTGCACGCTCCCTCAAAACTTGCGACATCTGTGGCATTGTGCTGTGTGATAAAACTGCACATTTTAGAGTGGCCTTTTATTGTGGCCAGCCTAAGGCACACCTGTGCAATAATCATGCTGTCTAATCAGCATCTTGATATGCCACACCTGTGAGGTGGATGGATAATCTCGGCAAAGGAGAAGTGCTCACTAACACAGATTTAGACAGATTTGTGAACAAAATTTGAGAGAAACAGGCCTTTTGTGTACATAGAAAAAGTCTTAGATCTTTGAGTTCAGCTCATGAAAAATGGGCGCAAAAACAAAAGTGTTGCCTTTATAATTTTGTTCAGTGTAGTATAACCAATGCATAAATTGTAAAAGGTATGGGGGGAATAGGCAGGAGGTTACTATTTGCCCATCACTGTATGCCATGGGAGAAACAGTCAGTCAAACATAGGAGTAGAGCAGCAGAAATCTGGATAAATTGATCACGATTTTTTTTTGTATCAAATAGAGATCATGAATCTCCTACAGACAACTAAACAAAATAGCTTGTCTACTAGAGGTTCTGACAAAATGTTAATTGTTGCAGACTAAGTAATTTTTTTTTACATTTTAATTATTTATTGCAAAATCTTTCTCTTTCTCTCTATCTCTTTTGTGGCTAATATTAATTTCATAATGATCTTTACACCAGTATCTTTTGTGGCTAATATTAATTTCATAATGATCTTTACACCAGTAAGTCAAGTAGCAGAAGTTACAGAAAGTGAAAATGTGCAAATAGTATTGGCCTATTTTGGGGTGAACTAAATATGCAAGACTAGTCTTGACTCTTACATGTCACTGTTTATAACAAAAGCCGTTCATCCTTTGCTGGGCCGCTTAAAAAAATGGGGGCATAAATTAAGAGTATACCCACTTCTGCAGACACCACTACACCACTGTATATATATATATATATATATATATATATAT